GTCAAGGGGGACATCGATGTTTCTGCTCCAAAGCTGGAAGGTGACCTGAAGGGTCCTGAAATGGACATCAAAGGGCCGAAAGTGGACGTTGAGGTGCCCGACGTGGATTTGGAGGTCCAGAGGGGAAGATCAAAGGCCCCAAGTTCAAGATGCCCGAGATGCACATCAAGGCCCCCAAGATCTCCATGCCCGATGTCGACTTCAACCTCAAAGGCCCCAAATTGAAGGGGGACATCGATGTTTCTGCTCCAAAGCTGGAGGGTGACCTGAAGGGTCCTGAACTGGACATCAAAGGCCCCAAAGTGGACATTGATGTACCAGACGTTGATATCCACGGCCCTGAGGGAAAATTCAAGATGCCCAAGTTCAAGATGCCCAAATTTGGGATGCCCGGGGTCAAGGCAGAAGGTCCTGAGGTGGACGTGAACCTCCCAAAAGGAGACCTGGATGTGTCCGGCCCCAAGGTGGACGTTGAGATGCCGAGTGTGGACATTGAGGGTCCCGAGGGGAAGATCAAAGGCCCCAAGTTCAAGATGCCCGAGATGCATTTTAAGACCCCCAAGATCTCCATGCCCGACATCGACCTGAACCTGAAGGGCCCCAAGGTCAAGGGGGACATCGATGTCTCTGTCCCCAAGCTGGAAGGCGACCTGAAGGGTCCTGAACTGGACATCAAAGGCCCCAAAGTGGACATTGAAGCACCCGACGTCGACATCCACGGCCCTGAGGGAAAATTCAAGATGCCCAAGTTCAAGATGCCCAAATTTGGGATGTCCGGCATCAAGGCTGAAGGTCCCGAGGTGGACGTGAACCTCCCAAAAGGAGACCTGGATGTGTCCGGCCCCAAGGTGGACATTGAAGGTCCAGAGCTGGACATTGAAGGTCCAGAGGGGAAGATCAAAGGCCCCAAGTTCAAGATGCCTGAGATGCACATCAAGGCTCCCAAGATCTCCATGCCTGACGTCGATTTGAATCTAAAGGGCCCCAAAGTGAAAGGAGATGTTGATGTCTCTGTCCCCAAGCTGGAAGGTGACCTGAAAGGTCCCAAAATTGACCTCAAGGGCCCCAAAGTGGACATTGAGGCACCCGATGTCGACATCCACGGTCCTGAGGGAAAATTCAAGATGCCCAAGTTCAAGATGCCCAAATTTGGGATGCCGGGGTTCAAGGCAGAAGGTCCCGAGGTGGACGTGAACCTCCCGACAGGAAACCTGGATGTGTCCGGCCCCAAGGTGGACATTGAAGGTCCAGAGGTGGACGTGGAGCTGCCAGAGGGGAAAGTGAAAGGCCCCAAGTTCAAGATGCCCGAGATGCACATCAAGGCCCCCAAGATCTCCATGCCCGATGTCGACTTCAACCTCAAAGGCCCCAAGGTCAAGGGGGACATCGATGTTTCTGTCCCAAAGCTGGAGGGTGACCTGAAGGGTCCTGAACTGGACATCAAAGGCCCCAAAGTGGACATTGAAGCACCCGATGTCGACATCCACGGCCCTGAGGGAAAATTCAAGATGCCCAAGTTCAAGATGCCCAAATTTGGGCTGAAGGGAGAAGGTCCCGAGGTGGACGTGAACCTCCCAACAGGAAACCTGGATGTGTCCGGCCCCAAGGTGGACATTGAAGGTCCAGAGCTGGACATTGAAGGTCCAGAGGGGAAGATCAAAGGCCCCAAGTTCAAGATGCCTGAGATGAACATCAAGGCTCCCAAGATCTCCATGCCCGACATCGACCTGAACCTGAAGGGCCCCAAGGTCAAGGGGGGTGTGGACGTCTCCGTCCCCAAATTGGAGGGCGACCAGAAATGTCCAGATGTGAACATTAAAGGTCCGAAGGTGGATGTGGACGTTCCTGACGTGGACGTTGAAGGTCCTGAGGGAAAGTGGAAGGGACCCAAGATCAAGATGCCAGAGATGAACATCAAGGCGCCGAAATTTTCTCTGCCTGATGTCGACCTGAACCTGAAAGGTCCCAAGCTGAAGGGAGAAGTGGCTGTGTCTGCCCCAAAAGTAGAAGGTGACGTGAAAGTGCCGGATCTGGAGGTGAAAGGACCCAAAGTGGACGTGGACGTCCCCGACATCGAACTGGAAGGTCCCGAGGGGAAGATCAAAGGCCCCAAGTTCAAGATGCCCGAGATGCACATCAAGGCCCCCAAGATCTCCATGCCCGACTTTGATCTGAACCTGAAAGGCCCCAAAGTGAAAGGAGACGTGGACGTGGCCGTCCCAAAAATCGAGGGAGATTTTAAAGCCCCAGACGTCGATATCAAAGGCCCCAAAGTCAACGTGGACCTCCCCGACGTTGACCTGGAGTGCCCCGAAGCGAAGCTGAAGGGCCCCAAGTTCAAGATGCCCGAGATGCACTTCAAAACCCCCAAGATCTCCATGCCCGACATCGACCTGAACCTCAGAGGCCCAAAACTGAAGGGGGATGTGGACATTTCCACCCCCAAGCTGGAAGGTGACCTGACGGGCCCAGACGTGGACATCAAAGGTCCCAAACTGGACATCAAAGCACCTGACGTGGACATTGACCTCCCGGAGGGGAAGATCAAAGGCCCCAAGTTCAAGATGCCCGAGATGAACATCAAGGCCCCCAAGATCTCCATGCCCGACTTTGATCTGAACCTGAAAGGCCCCAAAGTGAAGGGAGACGTCGATGTGTCCCTGCCCAAGCTCGAAGGGGACCTGAAAGGGCCGGAGGTGTCACTGAAAGGACCAAAATTGGACGTAGAAGTTCCTGACGTGGAGCTGGAATGTCCCGAGGGGAAGATCAAAGGCCCCAAGTTCAAGATGCCCGAGATGCACATCAAGGCCCCCAAGATCTCCATGCCCGATTTTGATCTCAACCTCAAAGGCCCCAAATTGAAGGGGGACGTTGATGTCTCTGCTCCAAAACTTGAAGGTGACCTGAAGGGTCCTGAACTGGACATCAAAGGCCCCAAAGTTGATGTCGACCTTCCTGACGTTGAGCTGGAGTGTCCTGAGGCAAAACTGAAGGGCCCCAAGTTCAAGATGCCCGAGATGCACATCAAGGCCCCCAAGATCTCCATGCCCGACATCGACCTGAACCTGAAAGGTCCCAAATTGAAGGGGGACATCGATGTCTCTGCTCCAAAGCTGGAGGGCGACCTCAAAGCCCCAGACATCGACATCAAAGGCCCCAAAGTCAATGTTGATCTCCCTGACGTCGAGTTGGAAGGTCCCGAGGGGAAGATCAAAGGCCCCAAGTTCAAGATGCCCGAGATGCACATCAAGGCCCCCAAGATCTCCATGCCCGATTTTGATCTCAACCTCAAAGGCCCCAAATTGAAGGGGGACGTCGATGTCTCTGCTCCAAAACTGGAAGGTGACCTGAAGGGTCCTGAACTGGACATCAAAGGCCCCAAAGTCGATGTCGACCTTCCTGACGTTGAGCTGGAGTGTCCTGAGGCAAAACTGAAGGGCCCCAAGTTCAAGATGCCCGAGATGCACATCAAGACCCCCAAGATCTCCATGCCCGACATCGACCTGAACCTCAAAGGCCCCAAAGTGAAGGGAGATGTTGATGTCTCTGTCCCCAAGCTGGAGGGTGACCTGAAGGGACCTGAACTGGACATCAAAGGCCCCAAAGTCAATGTGGACCTCCCTGATGTGGACATTGAAGGTCCCGATGGGAAGATCAAAGGCCCCAAGTTCAAGATGCCCGAGATGAACATCAAGGCCCCCAAGATCTCCATGCCCGACTTTGATCTGAACCTGAAGGGCCCCAAGGTCAAGGGTGATGTGGACGTGTCCCTCCCAAAGCTGGAAGGTGACCTGAAGGGTCCTGAACTGGACATCAAAGGCCCCAAAGTGGACCTTGAGGCACCCGACGTCGACATCCACGGCCCTGAGGGAAAATTCAAGATGCCCAAGTTCAAGATGCCCAAATTTGGGATGAAGGGAGAAGGTCCCGAGGTGGACGTGAACCTCCCAAAAGGAGACCTGGATGTGTCCGGCCCCAAGGTGGACATTGAAGGTCCAGAGGTGGACATTGAAGGTCCAGAGGGGAAGATCAAAGGCCCCAAGTTCAAGATGCCCGAGATGCATTTTAAGACCCCCAAGATCTCCATGCCAGACATCGACCTGAACCTCAAGGGCCCCAAGGTGAAGGGGGACATCGATGTCTCTGTCCCCAAGCTGGAAGGTGACCTGAAGGGTCCTGAACTGGACATCAAAGGCCCCAAAGTCAATGTGGACCTCCCTGATGTGGACATTGAGGGTCCCGAGGGGAAGATCAAAGGCCCCAAGTTCAAGATGCCCGAGATGCACATCAAGGCCCCCAAGATCTCCATGCCCGACGTCGACTTCAACCTCAAAGGACCCAAGGTCAAGGGGGACATCGATGTCTCTGTCCCCAAGTTGGAAGGTGACCTGAAGGGTCCTGAACTGGACATCAAAGGCCCCAAAGTGGACATTGAGGCACCCGATGTCGACATCCACGGCCCTGAGGGAAAATTCAAGATGCCCAAGTTCAAGATGCCCAAATTTGGGTTGAAGGGGAGAAGGTCCCGAGGTGGACGTGAACCTCCCAACAGGAAACCTGGATGTGTCCGGCCCCAAGGTGGACGTTGAGATGCCGAGTGTGGACATTGAGGGTCCCGAAGGGAAGATCAAAGGCCCCAAGTTCAAGATGCCCGAGATGCACATCAAGGCCCCCAAGATCTCCATGCCCGATGTCGACTTCAACCTCAAAGGCCCCAAATTGAAGGGGGACATCGATGTTTCTGCTCCAAAGCTGGAGGGTGACCTGAAGGGTCCTGAACTGGACATCAAAGGCCCCAAAGTGGACATTGATGTACCAGACGTTGATATCCACGGCCCTGAGGGAAAATTCAAGATGCCCAAGTTCAAGATGCCCAAATTTGGGTTGAAGGGAGAAGGTCCCGAGGTGGACGTGAACCTCCCAACAGGAAACCTGGATGTGTCCGGCCCCAAGGTGGACATTGAAGGTCCAGAGCTGGACATTGAAGGTCCAGAGGGGAAGATCAAAGGCCCCAAGTTCAAGATGCCTGAGATGAACATCAAGGCCCCAAAGTTCTCCATGCCCGACGTTGACTTCGGCCTGAAGGGCCCCAAGGTCAAGGGGGACATCGATGTCTCTGCTCCAAAGCTCGAGGGGGACCTCAAAGCCCCAGACATCGACATCAAAGGCCCCAAAGTCAATGTGGACCTCCCTGATGTCGAGTTGGAAGGTCCCGAAGGGAAGATCAAAGGCCCCAAGTTCAAGATGCCCGAGATGCACATCAAGGCCCCAAAGTTCTCCATGCCCGACGTTGACTTTGGCCTGAAGGGCCCCAAGGTGAAGGGGGACATCGATGTCTCTGTCCCCAAGCTGGAAGGTGACCTGAAGGGTCCTGAACTGGACATCAAAGGCCCCAAAGTCAATGTGGACCTCCCTGATGTGGATTTGGAGTGTCCTGAAGGGAAGATCAAAGGCCCCAAGTTCAAGATGCCCGAGATGCACATCAAGGCCCCCAAATTCTCCATGCCCGACGTCGACTTCAACCTGAAGGGCCCCAAGGTCAAGGGTGATGTGGACGTGTCCCTTCCAAAGCTGGAGGGTGACCTGAAGGGTCCTGAACTGGACATCAAAGGCCCCAAAGTGGACATTGAGGCACCCGATGTCGACATCCACGGCCCAGAAGGGAAAATAAAGTTCCCCAAGTTCAAAATGCCCAAATTTGGGCTGAAGGGAGAAGGTCCCGAGGTGGACGTGAACCTCCTGACAGGAAACCTGGATGTGTCCGGCCCCAAGGTGGACATTGAGATCCAGAGCTGGACATAGAGGGTCCAGAGGGGAAGATCAAAGGCCCCAAGTTCAAGATGCCCGAGATGCACATCAAGGCCCCCAAGATCTCCATGCCCGACATCGACCTGAACCTCAAAGGCCCCAAATTGAAGGGGGACATCGATGTCTCTGCTCCAAAGCTCGAGGGGGACCTCAAAGCCCCAGACATCGACATCAAAGGCCCCAAAGTCAATGTTGATCTCCCTGACGTCGAGTTGGAAGGTCCCGAAGGGAAGATCAAAGGCCCCAAGTTCAAGATGCCCGAGATGAACATCAAGGCCCCCAAGATCTCCATGCCCGACTTTGATCTGAACCTGAAAGGTCCCAAATTGAAGGGGGACGTCGATGTCTCTGTCCCCAAGCTGGAAGGTGACCTGAAGGGTCCTGAACTGGACATCAAAGGCCCCAAAGTGGACATTGAGGCACCCGATGTTGACATTAATGGCCCAGAAGGGAAAATAAAATTCCCCAAGTTCAAGATGCCCAAATTTGGGATGCCCGGGGTCAAGGCAGAAGGTCCCGAGGTGGACGTGAACCTCCCAACAG